AGAAAACAAATTACTATATTACATTTTAAAATATTTTATAATTGGATTTTATAATTGGTTTCCTTTAATCCTGCTATATATTTTAGTTAATGCAATTTAAGAGCATTCTGAGAAGGGAGTCCATAAGCATCACCAGACTACTACAGGGAGTCATCTATGATGGGGAAAAAAGATAAAAAGAAAAAAATAGGTTAAGAGCTCCTCAGGCTGGGGATGTAGCTCAGTGCCACGGCACCTGCCCGGCAAGCACAGGTCCTGAGTTCAGTAGGGTATGGGGGCAGGGCTGGGCATGGGCAATAAAAAAAGAACTCCTCTAAAGATAGATTCAAGAAAGAGGAAGGAAGCAAGTTATGAATTACTTACTTCTCACTTTAGGTTTCTGTCCAGGTATCAGTAACTTGGTTTTGTTTGCTTGTTTGTTTGGTACCAGGGATCGAACTTGGGACCTTGCATCTACTTGTTTTTTAAATCATCTTTGATAATAAACTTTCTTTTGAAACAGTATTTCACCCACCTAGGTGTTAGTCCTCCATGCAGGGATTATCCCCCAGGGCTTTGTGGGTAAAACCATGTAAAAAACCATTTAGTAATGTCAGCATGTATTTAAGAGACATGAGTAAGGTTAGAGTGAGTGAAGAGGTTGAATAGAGTTTGTGTGTGTGTGTGTGTGTGTGTGTGTGTGTGTGTGTGTGTGTCTTAATAGCAAAGCACTGACTGGTACATTTTAGGCATACATAATGATAGCACTCATCATTGGGAATTTGGACCTGTACATGATACATCCGCCTCTTTTTTCCCATTCCCCCCTCAAGCCTCCTCCCCTCCGTATGTACAAAAGCTTTGTTTTCATTTATTCCTTCTATTTTCTCCTTTTATTCTTGTCCCTTCCTTCCTTTCTCCCTCCCTCCTCCCTTGTTCCCTTTCCCATTTGAACATTTTATTCCCATTTTCCTATATCTATTATGCATTTTAGTCCTTGTTTCCACTTTCGATTTCTCATACCAGAAATGTGTGTCCAATTTATTTCACTTAAGAGTATGGTCTCAAGGTCCACCCATTTAGCTATAAATGTCTGAAGCTTATCCTTCTTTATGGCACAGTAGTACTCCATTGTATAAAAAAACCCACATCTTTATCCACTCATCAGTTGATGGGCATTTGGGCTGTTTACAAGATTACCTATTACAAACTGTGCTGCTATAAACATGGGTGTGCGTATATTGCTGTGGTATGATGCTTTTAATTCTTTTGGAAAGGAGAATAGCTGGGTCAGATGGAACCTCTAGTTTTAGTTTTGTTTTTTGTTTTTGTTTTCTTTTTGGTACCGGGGATCGAACTTGGGTTCTTGCACTTGCGCAGCAGGCAGCAGAACCACTGAGCTAAATCCCCAGCTCTCTAGTTTTAGTTTTTTGAGGAATCTCCACACTGATTTCCACAGTGGTTGCACCAGTCCACACTCCCACCAACAGAGGTGAAGGGTTCCTCTTTCCCCACAGCCCCTCCAGCATTTGTTATTGGTTGATTTCTTGATAGCAGCTCTTCTTTCTAGAGCATAATGGAATCTCAGCATTGTTTTAATTTGTATCTGTTGAATGACCAATGATGTTAAACATTTTTTCATGTATTTGCTCTTTCTACCTCTTCATCTGAGAAATGTCTATTCATTTCAGATGCCTATTTTTGGATTGGGTCATTCAATTTGGGAGGTCTGATTTTTTTAGTTCTTTATATATTCTAGATAGTAGTTCTTTTTCTAATGAATAGCTGGTAAAAAATTTTTTCCCACACTGTGTGTTGTCTCTTAGCTCTGTTGGTGGTTTCTCTTGCTGTGCAAAAGGTTTTTAATAAGGTGAGGTCCCAGTTGTTGATTCTTTATGGTATTTCCTATGCCATCTGGGTTTTCTTCATGAAGTCTTTGCCTACTTCTCAAGCATTCTGCCTGTTCTCTTTCAGCAGATTTATTTATTTATTTTAAAATAAATTTTATTTTATCTCATTCCCCCCTCAATCCCCCTACTTCCAGCAGATTTAGTGTTTCTGTTTTAATATGTGGATCTTTGATCCATTTCAATATTAGGTTACTGCATGGTGAAAGATATGAGTCTAGGGGTTGGGAATGTAGCTCAGTGGTCCTG